TAAGAAACATATTTCTTATATCTAAATCTCGTTTCATATGAGAATATCCCTGGGAATTAACTGGAAATGCAGTTTTCCTCTCGTCATCACCTCTCACACAAAAGTATTGCTATAAAACTACATTCTTAGCTATAAATAATAAAATTGCAACTATATGGAAAAACTCCAATCTTCAAAGTCTTTTTTAAAAGACATTACTTTTTCTACTTTCCTAATCCCCCCACTTTACTGAAGTATCTGAGTACTTCAATGCTTTTAAAAAACAACTTTTTATTTTATCATAATGAACATAAATGAAGTTTCCACATACATTTTATCAAGTCTTATTCATAGTCACTGTTAACTTTATCATCACAAAATTCCTGTAAGGTAGAGCAGTGGTGTCTGCAATGGGGCATTCCATATTCTTTTTGGGAATATGCTCGTGAATAGGAATGACATAATTAGAATATACCTTATATGAGATATCTTTGGAAAGATTGTAATATACTAAATAAGATCATCCCATTTGAATGCATGTATGATTTTTGTAGATTAAGTCAGGAATATTGAATTGTGTATTTGTAATTGCAAATTAACTGCTTTGGGTCACTCCCACTGTTTACACTTCAGAGCGGTGATGGCCCATTAGCAAGAAACAATGGAGCTTAACCTTCCTCCAGATGTGTGGGTCAGCCCATAAAGCATGGGGACCCTGAAGAGGCATGTGACCCTGCCATCTGATGTTGCAAATCATCTTGGAATGCTGTATTTTTCCACAAAAGCACAGGGAAAATTTGAACTGAATACTAAGTATTCCTGCCTTCTGCAAACCTATTTAAGTGTGAGGAGTGAGGTAATCCACAGAGCTAAGTTCTCCTCCGGAACACCACACAAGATGACTGCTGGAGACAGCTAAGGTTGAACAGTGGGAAAGATTAGATAGGCATCCAGACTGTGCAAAGATTATGAGTACCACATCTAGGGTACGTCTAGACTACAGGCTTTTGTCAACAGAGGCTTTGTCAGCAGATACTGTCGACAAAGCTTCTGTCGACAAAGAGCATCTAGACTACATCCAGTTCTGTCGACAAAGCAAGCTGCTTTGTCGACATGAGAGTGTAGACGCAAAGGTCAGTGTAGATGCAATAACGCCTTCTGTCAACAGAACTCTGCCGACAAAAGGCGTTATTCCTCGTAGGTTTGCTGCTGTTGACAAAACTGCCGAGTAGTGTAGACGCAGGTATAGTTTTGTCGACAAAAGTCCACTTTTGGACTTGTAGTCTAGACACGCCCCCTAGAGTGAGAATTTATGTGTATCCAGTTCCCTCAGTGTACTGTATTAAGATTAGGCCACGTCTATACTTAGGCAGAAAACAATGCTGCGATTCCAGCATTCAATTTAGCAGGTATTCTTGAATCACAAGGAATAAAGGAAGTTGACAGGAGTGTTTCCTCCAGTCAACTTCACGCTGTGAACAAGGCATCACAATTTGAATTAAAGTACATCGACTCCAGCTATGCAATAAATATAGCTGGAATTGTGTATTTTAATTCAAACTTCCGCATAAGTATAGACATGCCTTAGTTTGTGTTCTATTTTATTTTTCTTTGCTTAACCTACTTTGTTCTGTGTGCTATCTCTTATGACCATTTAAATCCTATTTAGTGTACTTACTAAAAGCATTTCTGTTTATTAGTAAACCCAGTGTAAATAATTTGTTACCTGGAGGGCAAGGAGTCAGTGCATATCTCACTCTGCATTGAGAAAGATGGTGAATTTCATGAACTTATATGGTACAGATCTCAATACAGCATAAGACAGATGTACCTAAGATTCAGCTCCCAGAGGGGCTGTGAAATTGAGTGCTGAGAAAAGGTCTTACAACAGGGACAGGCAATCAGGAATGATCAGTGAACCACATGAGTAGGCTGCAGCAGCCCACATCACACTGGGGTTCTACCTGTAGTCCCTTGTGTCTCAATGTGCCTCACACACTGGGGAACCAGAGCCTCGCACTTACCTACAGCTCCCTCTCCCTCCCAGTACATTTGGAGCCCACCAAATCATCAGATTCATGCTCCATCCCCACTCTTCCCCCTCATTCCCACAGCTGGAATGCTGGGGAGGGGCGGCAGCCAGGGGATCCATGGGCTGCAGGTGGAGCCCCATTGGGCCTCAGGTTGCTCATGACTGTCTTATGTGTGTGAATACAGCCATGGGGGTGTGGCCATGTCCTATGCTGAAGCAGACTGGAGAGTGGGGCTCAGCAAGACAGCGTTATAGGGTGCCCAGACTGCCCAGGAAAACAGTGGGGACTCGGCACATCAAATAAGAGTCTTGAGGAGTTCCTGACCTAGCACAATATTATCCACATTTTACAGATGGGGAAACTGAAGCCCAGAAAGAGACTTGGGCCAGGACTACACTACACCCAGCAGCCTAACTTAAGGTACGCAATTCCAGCTATATAGAATACATAGCTGTAGTCACCTTACCTTAAGCTTAGCTTGGTGGCATCCCCACAGCGGGCAGCCGACAGGAGCAAACGCTCATGTCAGCTTCCATTACTCCTCACAAGAACAGGAGTACGAGATGCCGGCAGGGATACTCCCTGAGTTTGATTTAGGGAGTCTTAACTAGACTTTCTAAATTGAACTCCAGAAGATCGATTGTGGCAGCATCTATCTTCCGTGAAGACATGGCATTAGTGACTTAGCCAAAGAAGTTTTAGGTAGAGGAGGGAGTCCCAGCCTAGGTCCATAGCCACTGGACCATCTTTCTTCCCTAACTCTGTTTCAGTCTAACAGGCTCTTTCCACTACGATTATCTGAGACAGCTTTTCCCAATTCTCATGGGAATCTTTAGTGGCTACCTTTACCTCTGATTGTTACATTGGTGTCATAACAATGAAAAATTTTAAGAAAAGAACCATACATGTTTACTTGCATTCTTTGTTCTACCAACTTTTCTACAGAAATGTGCTCTTCTTGTTTCTCGTCCACTTAACACACCACTGTGACACTGCTCGTGATTAAAACAAATTACTCAGTAACAGCAAAATTATTTTTTTAAACCTTCCTTTAACACAGCTTGAATCTGAAAGAAACAAGATAATGTAACCCAAGTTGTTTTACAGCAAAGCCTCAAATTTCAGATATCTTATGAGAGACCTCATAGTATTTCACAGATATTAAATAATGGTATTCCTCTTGCATTTTACATATTCTTGACAAAGGAGGAAGTGGATATATAATGAGAGAGTAAAGTTGGTTGTTAGCTAAGGGGACTCTCTATCCATAGTTTCATATACGTATGTAGGTAGGCAGCAGCAAAGTATTTGCAAAATCTTAATAATATACTACTTCAAAAGAGAAAGTTTACAGTCCAAAGCAAATGCTACTGGTAAACCTAGTGTTTGAATCCCTTGGAAAGACTAAATTTTACTGCATTTTCTAATAGTTCATTCTATAACCTTGATGTAAGGTGATGATGTAAAGTTGAATATAAATGTCTATGAAATGCAATTAATACAGCAATCAACTTTGAGACTACCAACAAAATAAGTAAAAAAGTACAAAGAGGTATGGTTAAGATTTAAGATTTTGTCAAGGTTATTTTTAGTAAATGTTGCAGACAGGTCACAAACAATGAACAAAAATTCACAGGAGCAATGCCATGTTTAGCAATGTTTCACTAAAACAAAGCAGGGTTGGAAAAGCAAAGACAACTGGAGCCTCCAGGGAAAAGAGGGTAGAGACCGATAGTAGAGGGAGAAGGGAAGTCAGAAATGAGCTAGACTAGGGCTGGGCAAAATACGGCCCAGGGGCTGGATCCAGCCTGCCAAACCACAGAATCCAGCCAACGGACAACCCTGCTGAGACTCTCAAGCACACGCAGCTGCTGCGTTTAACAGAGACCCTACATTTCTCTGCTCTGCAAGGAGGATGAGGCTTCATGCGATCTCCCCACCCCCAGACCAATTCTCAGCTCCTATTGGCCAGAAACAACCAGCCAATAAGAACTGACCTCAGCCAAATTTAGAGTTGAGAGCCACGTGGAGGGACCAGCCTGTATTTTCAAGCAGGCTGGGGCTGCCGGTCAGGAGAGAATTAGGTAAACTCCTTCCAGCAAGCGCCTGCCTCTGGCACCTCAACCCCTCGTGCATCAACTCCCTCCCCCAGATCACCATCCAAACCCTCTGCATCCCTTGCCCCAGGTGACAGCTCCCTCCCAGACCCTGTACCTCCTCCTATGCCCCTCCCCCAGGCCAGAATTCTCTCCTGCACCCACACTCCTTTTCTGACCCTAAACCCCCAATCCCCTGACCCAGGTCACAACCCCCTCCTACACCCAAACACCCTCTGAGACCTCATGCTATCGCCTGCATCCCAGTCCCTTACCCCATGCGCCCTTCTGCACCCAGCCTCCATCCTAAGCCCTGCACCACCCTCCACAGAAAAGTGCAGCCCTTGACCACTTAACAGAATCTTGGAGTGCCCCCCCCCACCAAAAATTATTGCCCACCCCTCATGTAGACAGTGCTTGGTCCTGCCGTGAGGGCAGAAGACTGGACTTGATGATCTCTCAAGGTCCTTTCCAGTTCTAGTGTGCTATGATTTTGGGAACACAGTCCCTGTTCTAAACATGAGGGGGGGAGAGAGAACACGCAACCCAACTACAGCTGTGGGGAAGGAGGGGCCCACAGTCCTGGCTCTAGCTGTAGCTATGAAGTACACAGTGCCATCCCTGCACAGGGCAGAGAGGCAGATGCACAGCCCTGACAACAGACAGTTGAATTCAAAGAAGTCACAGAGGTTCGATAAAGTCATGGATTCTGTGACTAAATCATATCTTTAGGTATGATACAGTAAAAATATGTGGCTATTTCCTCTGCATCAACTGTTTACACATCAAACTCCTAAAATCTGCAAAAGGCCCATTGATTATCAAGTCACAGCTACTTATTACCAGCAAAATTTAGGAATTCAGATTAAGTGTTATTTACTGGTGGTCTTACCACTGTTGCCCGGTGGCTGTAGTGCATCTTCTGTCAAGTCACACCATCCGACTGGGAAAATATCTCGAGAATCATATTTGCACCAATAGTCAAAAGCGCCCCTCCAGCCATCAAATGTAATGAAAACTTCATCTCTTCTAACATCTCCAATGGTTGCTGGGCAAATTAAATAAGGGTTCTTTTTGTCCACTGCTTCAAGTTTCATTCCAACTTTAAAACAGTTTGGAGCAGGTTTTGGTGGTTCCTGTCAAAATAAAAGTGGCAGAACATTAATGTTTCCATGAACTCTTAAAAGACAGTTACTTTTCTCAAACATTCTAATGTTTCATACTGATTACCCCTCCTCCCCCCAAAGGTTATGCAATACACATTTAATAAATTGTTACAAACTTGTTTTAAATTTTCTATACTACCTTGGCTCAATTCGGCTCCTACTTACATGACTGGGAGCAAGGTATGCCATGTTTACTTAAGCAATAGGCTGAGTAAATCTGATGTGCTCTACAGGAAGGGTGGGATAGTGAACATACACTAGAACTAAATGGCATAGTTTTCCATAGTTGAACAAGGAAAAAGAGAGGATCCAAAATATACTTCAGTGAGGGATTGTATGTTTCTGTGGATTGATAATGGACTAGGGAATCTTTCACCTCTTGGTTACTTAAACAAATGCACATACAAGTCATTAACATCTAAAGACTATTTAGTAGCTTGTGTGAAATAAGTTGGTCTTACACAAACAGAACAAAAATCATCAACACAAAGCAACACAATAGCCTACAATGTGCCCCTGCCAGTCTTTGCAGAAAGGCCAAAGGACTGAATGAAGCCAAATTACATCTCACACTCAAGAGGCAGACCCTCTAGAAAATGGGTGACACACATTGGTGGGACATAGAAAAGCTTGCATCGCCACTGCTCATGACATAGCTGTTTTATGAATGCATTTTAATCAATATTTTCTCAGAATGAATGGGGACTCGCCAATAAAGCGCTTGAAGAATCAAGCCCAATGTAGGTTTTATTAAAATAAACGTATACAAAGCCATTATCAGCAATGTTCCCTCTAATCTTTTCCATCCATGTGTAGAATAATGTTTTATATGCACTGATACATGTTTCTATTGCTGGTACATATTCACACACAAAAAGTAGCTATGGGTGCTATGCTAATCAGCTGGGTGGCATACGAGTCTCTCCTGAGCAGACACACAAGTGCACAGCTTACAGGGAACACTGATTATCAGTACTAAGAAAGAAGTCACTGAAGTTCAGACTTCCATTTTATAAAGCTCACAATAGTGATAAGAGGGCAAATCAAATCAATAGATGAACTGGGTCAACTTATATCCCTACATATTTTTGCATAAAAAAATTTCATACATTTTTCTTAAGATCAACCTACTTGAAGTAGGCCATACTTCTAAAACTGATAGCTGAAAAAAAAAGTAATAAAAAGTGCTAAGTTCCCACTACCTTCTTAACAGTTCAACTGTCAAGTATGCACCAAATAAAAACATTCATCCCATGCATTCTTGTGGCTTTCATTCTTCCTTACCAGTTTTAGCCCAACACATACATGGGCACATCATGAACAGGATATTGTCAACAAATGAAAGATGCATGACAACTTAAATCCATGAAATAAAAGCCAAGCTAACAATTTCTTCTAAATAATACAGCATACCTTAAAGATCCAAACACAGGAAAAGAGGTGCCCATCCATTTGGACTAGAAGATGATCATTTCCTGTCCAGTTTTGTGGCTTGCCAATCCACTTCAAAGTTAATTTTAAATAATATTCTTGCCTTTCCATGCTGAAGAGAACAGTACAATATCCTGGCATCCTCAATAAAAAATGTAATCATGGACCAGTTGATGGATGCTTGCTACAAGGAGCCCCTTTCTTCTTACCTTCTTAAAGAATGCTGCAGGTGCCATTTCAGCTCCATTTAGTGTTCTTAACAGAAACATTGGCCAAGATGATGCATTCATTTGGAAACCTAATTAACAAACAGATTGTGTAAAAAATCCTAGTCTCGTATTTATAAAACATGAGTATAAAGGTTGCAGAGTTTACCCAATAATGTCTAAAACCCTGTGGTTTGGATTTGTCTAGAAATAAATGTGGTAAAGAAACATGAATGCATATGGCTGCTGTTTAGTGCAATAAGCATGTTATATAGTGTATTTTCTTTCAGGAGTGAATTGCCTACAAAACCATTTGCAATGGATAATATATTAAGTGTGACTAGAGACGTGCAAGTTGTGGTATTGTAGATTAAATCATTTTCTATATTCCCTGGTTTCAAACAATCATAATACCCAGCTATATTTACTGGGCCAGATTTCTTTTATTCTCAAATGACATCCTCTGCTCTAGTTTTTCTGTCATCTAGCTCTTATTTTTATTAAACATATTTTCTTCACCACTGAGACTCTTCCTTTTTGTGAACAAATCTGGTGAAACAAGAAATTGCAAACAAATTTCAATGAAACAATATATCTTTTAATTACAAAGACAAGAACAAGAAATAAAACATCTTGTTAAGTGTATGCATCACATTGCATTGCTCAAAGTGGAGTAAGTTTCTATACCAATATACTTCATGTAAAAAAAGTGAATACAATGCACAGACAGTATAACCTGAATCTACTTTTATTAACATTATCTTGGCAAAATAATTGTTTGATTGCCTTGGAATTAAGAATATTTCATTCCACCTCAGAACTAAGTACCTCCCAGTAACAGAAGAGACATGCTTATAATACTCTGTGCTTTTGAAGCCCCCTCAAGGCTATGTTTGAAGCTACTATACTGATTCAAATAGATAAATGGTTATCTACCTTTCTTAACTCTTGTTCTTCAAGACGTGTAGCTCATGTCCATTCCAATAAGTGCACGTGTGCCACATGCACAGCAGTCAGAAGTTTTTTTCCTAGCATACCCGCTGGGTTGACTGTGGAGCTCCCTAGAGTGCCACCTCTGTGGTGGCATATATAGACCTCTTCTGACACTGGCGTCCACTCAGTTCCTTCTTGACAGAATAGTCTGAGAGTGGGAAGGCGGGAGGCTCTGGAATGGACACAAGTAACTCAAAGAACGACAGTTACAAAAGCTAGGTAACCATTTTTTCTTCAAGTGATTGCTCATGTGCATTCCAATATGTAACTTACTAGCTGTTTGAAAGAAAGAAGGGTCAGACCTCAACACATTGCTGATTGCAAGACTAACCTTAAGAACGCAGCGTCGTCACATGCTTACTGGGTGATGGCATAATGTACTGTGAAGGTGTGCATGGAGGACCACATTGCTGCTCTGCAGATTTCTTGAATAGGGACCTTTGCCAAAAAAAATGGAGGAGCATGCCTGTGGCCTGTTTAGTGCACTGCTGTAAAATGTGGTGCTACTAATTTGGCTAGGTCGTAGCAAATGTTAATACATTACATAATCTAGGAGGAGATGCAGGGATGTAATCAGGAGTCCTTTCATTCACCCAGCTATAGCAGCCAAGAGCTGTGGCAATTTGTGGAATGACTTGGTACACTCAATATTAAAGATGAAGGCATGCCTTATGTCCAAGGAGTGTTGCACCCTCTCCCTGTCCCTGATGATAGCATGGGACTTTTGGAAGAAAATGGGGAGAAGTGTCCTGATTGACATGAAAGGATGACAGAAACTCTGGTAACAGCCCATCTGAGCTGGGGGGGGAGGGGTATTCCCCACAGTCAGGAGCTGATGAACCCTGCACGACCTGGGACTGAGCAAGCTCGGCTCAGTCCTGGCTCGCACCGCAGTGTTAGGGACTACTGCGGCTCTGTACCGGCTTGTTACAGTTCATGGCCATGGGAAGCTGGGGAAAGGTGCTAGGGAGAGAAGCCCAGCAGGAAGGCTGGCACTCCACCCCCCAAACTGCCCCATGTCAGGCAAACTCTCTTGTTCAGGACCGGTCAGGTCACAAGGGTGCCAGATGAGGGAAGTCCAACATGTGCTACTAAAAAATTCCCTATCAAGTCCTCAAGAGATGCCTTACAACCTAGGTATGATTTAAAAAGAAACCTAATAGTAGACATGAAAAAGTTTACATGACTTTAGGTTACTTACTATTGAAACCTTAATTCCCTTTGTAAAGGCTTTCCACGAGGAGTAACAGTTAATCCGAACTAAGGACTTAGTTCGGATTAACTTTAAACTGCTGCGTGTAGCCACGGGCAGTTTGTTTGAACTAAGGGGGATTTAAAAATGGCAGCCGGACGGGAACATGCAAATAAAGCCTGAGACATTTAAATCCCAGGCTTCATTGGCAATTCCGGTTGCCTGATTTGCCTACTTAGCTCAAATTAACGAGCTAGAGTAGACATACCCTAAGTCTTAAAACCATTTACAAGACATGACATTTTGGAAGTTTCTGGATTCTTCTTTTGAATCACCTGACTACAGAATTTCTCACTGGAAAGCAGAGAGAGTGCACATGCCAATAACAGGAAGGTTAACACTACTCAGTTAAGCAGTTCAACTGATTTCACTTAAGCTTTCTTTTTAAAAAATCACTTTTCATCAGAGTTTGGAAAATGTATCCCCAAAGAAATTTGTTTGGAAATATTATAAAGTAATAAAAGTAAACAATCAAATGTAGTTTCAAATGGAAGCTGGGATCTGAAACCTTAACTATGACACTGAACACTACTGAGCTCCTGATGTAATATGTGAAACTATCATCTGCTTAGAGCTCAGGTGAGGGTCTATTATAGCTCATTTGTTACTGTGAGAGAAATCAAATATTGGGACCAGAAGGTTCCATACCATTTGGGAAAAATCAGCAGTGTAAGTGTCTAGCAGGAGGCAATTATACACCCAATTAGCTCCCAGCTTCACCCAGAAACAGAATGCTGCAAAAGTGACAATAAATGTATCTATCTTTGCCAGGATATTTCACTGTTGGAACCTCGCTGTCACTAGAGAATCAAAGACAGGAGGAATTATAAGTAACTATTTCCTTTCTAAATAGACTAACAACAAAATGGCTAGCAATCATTATGAGAGGAGCTTCAGGGGGTAGCCGAGTTAGTCTGTTACAGAAAAAAAACAGCAAACAAATGGTCTGATAGTACTTTATAGACTAACAAAACATGTAGATGGTATCATGAGCTTTCGTGGGCACAGCCCATTTCTTCAGATGACCGGAGTTATGATTAGAGGATAAGGAAACTCAAAATAAATAGGAGAAGGCGGGGGGGAGGGGGGGAGAGAAGATGTTTTGTCACCCACCCCTGAGACAAACTTCCATTCCTGGATAACACAGAGCCATTTGCTCATTAGGTATAACTTTTCAAGTCATTTGATTGAACAGGAATGACAACCAAAACATAAATCACTGGCTATATACTGGTCTATAGATATTTTTCTACCACTGTATTAGTTTTAGGATGTTAAATATCAGTTAATTGAATAGTTGATTAACCTCATGAATTCTTATCAGTTAGTTGACTATTCTATAGCCCCGGGAGTGGGACTGGCAGCCAGTGTGCTCAGGCCCCACTCCTGGGGAACCCCTGGCCACCCCGTGCTGCTGCCTCTCTATCACAGACAGCAGTGCGGGGTGCCAGGTAGGACTTGTTCCGCAAGGGGAGCCAGTTTAAAAACTAGCTCCCCTAAAAGACTGGTTACCTGCCACCCTGCACTGGTGCCTCTGATACAGAGGCAACAGCACAGGGTGGCAGCAGCCCATCCATGGCAGGGAAGGATCTGAGCTCTCGGACCTGGCATGAGCCGGAACTAAACTGGGCTGCCTGCCTGGTTCCTGATACACTTTAAATGCAGAGCCACAGATGGGATAGGTCCCAGACCTGGTGCAAGCTAGGACTGAGCTGTGCTACTGGCTAGCCTGCTAAAAAATTTAGTGGCCGGGGGGAGGAGGGGAAATGCATGTAGTCTATAGCATTAACCTATAGGCTTCTGCTTATTGGTTAATCGGTTAATCAATTACACTATCACATCCCTAATTAGGTTAGGAATAGATATAATTAAAATGGGCCAATCAGCTAGTGCAGAGGTGGGCATTCATCTTTGAAGGGGGAGGCCACTTCACGAATTTTGGGTCATAGTCACAGGCTGGCTCCATCCCAGGAAGGGGTGAGGCCTTGGTCAGAAGTGGCAGGGTCTTGGGCGGAAAGAAGCTGTTTCCTCTAGATACTGTGCACTCCTAGTGGCAGGAGGGAACCACCAGGTGCTCTGAACAGCAAATAACTTTGCATGCTCTCCCACTCCTGGGTCTCAATTGCCCTGCGGGTGTGGATATGGCAGAGCGGGCCACAGGCCAGATCAAATGGCTTGGCAGGCCATATCTTGCCCACCCCTGAGCTACAGTAAATGTAGTTATACAAATATAAAAGTGTGAATAATAGTGTAGCCTATTTCTGTACCAAATAAGGCACTATTATTCTGGTAATAATTGCATCCACATTTAGGGTTTATACTGCTTTAACTACATCTGTTCCTAAAGCAAGATAGGTACAGCAGAACAAAAACTGTATTTTGAAATTCTTCAAATAGATTCACACAAAGCAAATTTTTGCTTATTCTTGGCTCTCCCCCTAACAGGAAAAATTTGGAAGGTTCAGTTTTTCAGTACAATAGAGTGACATTTTAATAGTACTTTACACTTCACCATTCTATCAGAGGCTCAAAACAATTAACTGAGCCTTACAACGTAATATGACTGGGTAGCTGAGGACCAGCATTAGGGGAGATCCAATCTGTACTTGACTGAAGATTAGTCTGTCCAAAAGTTCTCTAATACCATTCGGTATCTGCATTTTTCCTACATCTGGGAGTGCAAGTGAACTGCAACACAGTCGTGATCACCTACCCTATCTTTCTCTTTTCCAGGAATAGTACTGTTTTTTTCAGCACTCAGAGTACTAATACACAAACATCCAGATGGCTCACTAGCGATTAAGTGGATTTACTGTACTGATTATTTCACTGCTGGATTAAGAATGGGCTCCTCCTGACGGTCTAGCAGATTATCACAGGTAGAAAGAGTCTCATTCTAGATTTCTGAACTTAAGTGTTAAGCTAAATTCAAGGATCCCAAGCACTTGTATATCCAACTGCCAATGATATAGTAACAGAATAAAAAAATCTCTCTCAAAAATATCCACGCACTAGCCAGAAGCCCACAGATGAAGCTTTTCCCAAAGATTGATGTGAAGATACTATAATGTGGTATTATCTGTGGTTTGTAACCTATCCTTTAAATCGGCTTCCGTACCTAATGACTGGAAGGTAGCCAACGTGACACCAATATTTAAAAAGGGCTCTAGAGGTGATCCTGGCAATTACAGACTGTTAAGTCTAACTTCAGTACCGGACAAATTAGTCAAAACAATAGTAAACAATAAAATTGTGAGGCATGTAGAAGAACATAATTTGTTGGACAAAAGTCAACATTTCTGTAAAGGGACATCATGTCTTACTAATCTATTAGAGTTCTGTGAAGGGGTTAACAAACATGCAGACAAGGGAGGTCCAGTAGATATAGTATACTTAAATTTTCAGAAAGCCTTTCACAAGGTCCCTCGCCAAAGGCTCTTGTGTAAATTACATGGCTATGGGATAAGGGAAGGTCCTTTCTTGTATTAAGAACTGGTTAAAAGACAGGAAACAAAGGGTAGGAATAAATGGTAAATTTTCAGAATGGAGAGGGGTAACTAGTGGTGTCCCACAACGGTCAGTCCTGGGACCAATCCTTTTCAACTTATTCATAAATGATCTGGAGAAAGGGTAAGCAGTGAAGTGGTAAAGTTTGCAGATGATACCAAACTGTTTAGGATAGTCAAGACAGAAGCAGACTGTGAGGGACTCCAAAAAGATCTCACCAAACTGAGTGATTGGGCAACAAAATGGCAAATGAAATTTAATGTGGATAAGTGTAAAGTAATGCACATCGGGAAAAATAACCCCAACTATACGTACAGTATGATGGGGGCTAATTTGGCTATGACAAATCAGGAAAGAGATCTTGGGCGGCAGTCAAAAAGGCAAATAGGATGTTAGGAATTATTACGAAAGGGATAGAAAATAAGACACAGAATATCTTACTGCCCCTGTATAAAACTATGGTACGCCCACATCTTGAATACTGTGTACAGATGTGGTCTCCTCACCTCAAAAAAAGATATTTTGGCCTTTGAAAGGGTTCAGAAAAGGGCAACTATAATGATTAGGGGTTTGGAACGAATCCCTTATGAAAAGAGGTTAAAACGACTGGGAGTTTTCAGTTTAGAAAAAAGGAGACTGAGGAGGGATATGATAGAGGTATATAAAATCATGAGTGGTGTAGAGAGGGCGGATAAAGAAAAGTTATTTATTAGTTCCCATAATAGAAGAACTAGAGGACACCAAATGAAATTAATGGGTAGCAGGTTTAAAACTAATAAAAGAAAGTTCTTCTTCATACAGCGTGTAGTCAACCTTGCCAAGTGGAACTCCTTGCCAGAGGAGGCTGTGAAAGCTAGAACTATAACAGTGTTTAAAGAGAAGCTAGATAATTTCATGGAGGTTAGGCCAAAAAAGGCTATTATCCAGGGGATAGAAGTGGTGTCCCTGGCCTCTCTTTGTCAGAGGCTGGAGAAGGATGGCAGGAGAAAAATCGCTTGATCATTGTCTTCGGTCCACCCTCTCTGCAGCACTTAGTGCTGGCCACTGTCGGCAGACAGGCTACTGGCTAAATGAACCTTTGGTCTGACCCAGTACACCCGTTCTTATGTTCTTTAATGCACAAAGTCCAGTAGGCCAAGGTCAAGTTTACCTGTATTTAGGGGAGAGGAAAGAGGAGAAGGAATTTCTCAATTAAAAGTCAAGAAATCCTTAATCAAAAGAACAAAATACCACTATCACTTAGGGAGTCAA